TTGTTTGTGGTGTTTTTTTTTTTTTGTGTGTTTTGGTTTTTTGTTGTTGTTGTTTAGAGCATGAGAAGAGTAACTTGGGTATCATCTTCTGTTTCTCATAAAGAAATGGAGAGATTCAACAGGAATTGAGTATCTGAGAGGTGTGGGAGGAACACCTTTGGACACTATTTTTAAATCAAAGTTCTTTCATGATGCTCTTGATTTAAAGGACAGGACACGTAATCAGCAAGTTCTTATCTGTTATTTTTTATGGCAGAAACTTCCTGATTCTTCCCTGCACCTTCCTGTGGGAGAACAAAGGGAGAGCTTGCAAGAGATTTTAGTCAGTCAGAAAGGAATTCTAAGGCAAACTAGATAATGGTGAAATTGATAACCAAATTATCCCTGATAATGTTATCAGGTTAGAAAAAAGACAGAAGTCACCCTAGCAAACTCCTCTGGAATGCTGTCCCAGAAGAATGCGTGATCTGCAATGGAAAGAAAAAGCTGGGCAGGGTTGGAGTTGAAAAGAAACAAAAATCAATTTAACTGGCTTTTAATTTTCTGTGGAAGTGGAACAGAGAATATATACTTCTAGTTCCATCAATAGCAGAAACCACTTCTGCTGTTGTTTTAGAATTATTTTATTTAAATTAATTGTATTATGAAAGGTTTTGCCATCAGTAGCAGGGAAGATTTTGATTATCACATCTTGTACTTTTAAACACATGAACTACAATTAAAATATTCAAGTCAGAAAAAAGAAAAAATAAGGTATTGGATACATTGCTGAAATCACTCTCTGCAATCACTCTTCTAATCATGCTCCCAGATGGACAAAACTGGCAAAACAGGAATACTGATAATAATGAAAAAAAGATCTGGAACAACAATTTGTGCAATGAAGGGAATAAATTGTACCTAAGCTACAAAATAATAGACTCCAAGCCAGTGAGCATTTAAGCATATGTTTAATTGTAAACAGGTGAACAGTTCATCTCCCTCTAATGAGACAACTGAGAAGTGAAATGCACTTATGGGGCTGAGGCCTAACACAGTTATTACTGACTAGAGCATTAATCAATTAAGAGAGCCATAAAAAAGCAGGGGGGGCTGTGTACATGTTAAATGTGCCTGTTTGTGCTGGAGTGTTTGACAGATTTGCTTCTTCCCTGTGCTCTGTGGCAGTGAGTCATGCTGTCACCAGGGAGATGGACTACAGGTGGGTTTCATAACCCATCTGGCTTTCTGAACTTCAGCTATTTAAGCTATCCAGCTAATCTCCCTCTGTAGCTCAGGGGGAAGGGAGACCTTGCTGGTTTATCTTTCCTCAGCTTTGGAGATAGAGATTTCTCTCTTTTGACTATAAAAGGAGCCAAGGTGACTCAGCTGAAATTAAATATGTTTAGCTGGTTACAGTTGGGCAAAATGAAGTGTTCTGGGGTCCAGTGTTAGAATAGATTAGACAACTATGCACATATTGAACTTAATCTCATTGCAGGTGATATTCATAAGCATTAAATTTGATTTCTTTTAATTCCAGTAGTGCAGAATCTGTCACTAATGGCTTCCAAAAGTCTTGACATTTGTCACACAATGACACAAAACATAAACAAATATAAAAGCATTAAGTTACCAGCCTGTATGTTTATTACTACATAATTGCACTGCATCCAATTGAAATTTACATTTATAACCTTGTAAAACACAGTGAGCTTGAGATCAGAGCCATTGTGGATAGATAAGAAATTGAAGCCTTTCTTGCTCACAAAGCAAGATCCTCCTGCCTATATGACCTGGCTGAGATGGCTTTCATGGTCATTCAGGTGCATGGCCCCTCATAATATGTGGGTCATGCCAGGGGAGTACCTTTAGCAACACACCTGGAGCCCAGCAAATGCTTTGCAGCTTTGGTGCTGATCCAATCAAGTACAGAAATAACTGGGAGATGACTCATGCTGAGAGGTGGATACTTGCTGTTAATCCCAGCTTTTAAAGTGTACACAGTTTGTCATCATTTTTCATTGTGGTGAACATGTCTGTCTGGCTGCTTTTGTTTCACCATTGTCTGATGTTTGCTGTGGACTCTCTTCTCTGCTAATTTGCTTTTCACTCGAAAGGACGTAATCAGACAAAAATCCCCTCAAAACCAGTTCCACTGAAGAAAAGACCTAAGCAGGAGAAGCAAATATATGAGGTAGGGTGGAGAGGAATGTGTTCTGACCCTGAAACATCTGCTCTTTTAAATGTGATGTTACAAATATTTAACCACATGTGCATCTTCCAACCTTAAAAACTCAGCTAAGGCGGGGGAGGTGGGGGTGGGAGAAAAATGATGGATGATACCCAAGAAGAAAGGTAATATGGAAAGAACTAGTAAGGCTGAAATTATGGAAGAAATCAGATGCATTTGGGACAAATACTACAGAAAATGAATAGTAAATTAATACTAAAGGCTAATCATACAGATGGATGAATTTAAATATAAAACCAGGAAGGAATTGAATAAATTTGCGGTTTGCAATACAGACTGGCATCATGGGTAGTCACACTCTGAGTACGTCCAGTATCACTGCATTTGTCTCATACACAACTGGAACACATGCCCTAGTATTTTACTAAATGGGAATAGTATGTTTGCTAACACAATTGAAGTATACCATGGTTTTAAACTAGATTCTCAATGATGGTTTTGTCATTAAAAAGCCATTGTCAAAACACACAAGAAATGCAGAGGCACTGTCTCAGGAAGCTTTACAAAGAGGTGTTGACAGCTTCTCTGCTCACAGTTTCTAAGGACTCTGGCAAGATTATTGTTTTTATTCTAATTGTTTTTATTTTTATTTTCTGTTCTGAATGAAAGTACATCATGGATTTAAACTAGATTTTCAATGATGGTTTTGTCATTAAAAACCATTGTCAAAACAGGCAAGAAATGCAGAGGCACTGTCTCATGAAGCTTTACAAAGAGGTGTTGACAGCTTCTCTGCTCACAGTTTCTAAGGACTCTGGCAAGATTATTGTTTTTATTCTAATTGTTTTTATTTTTATTTTCTGTTCTGAATGAACAGAAATAGTACTGAAGCAGAAATGGGAAACAATAAAGGAGATATATGTTGGAAGACCTGGCTTAGCCCTCTTAAGTTCTCACCTTCAACATTTATCTGTAGCTTTACATTGCAGTAGTGCCTGTTGCACTATTCCCTGTGTGTGTGAAACTGGAGATAAGAGTCTTCATCTGGAAAAATAATGACTGTGTGAAATGCTCCGGGGACACAAGGAGGTTTTGTTCCCATTGTTGAATGAAAATAGGTGTTTCCATCTTAAAGAAAGGTAAATGCAAGTTTATATATCTCAGCTTTCTGCAGAGCACTGGATTAGTTGGTACTGTACTGGGTACTGAGTGCACAGTCCCAGGCCCCCACAAAGACCTGGGATGAGCGTGCAGAAGCAGGAGAGGAAGGAAGGAAGCTTTCCCACCACTCGCCCAAACCCTGGTGTGTGGTACTGAGGGAAGCTCGAGGGCTTAGTGTTAGGATGTGAATAACAGCACTGAGGTGGCTTCCTGTATTCCAGGAAGCAGAACTCTGTCCTGACGTGTAAAGGAATAAAGTTTCACAAAAGGTATTTGCCCAGTAGGTCCAGCAAAGCAAAACCAAAGCCAGGTGGCCAGGAAGGTCAATGGCATCGTGCCTAATGACATCAGAAATGGAATCAGTGTGGCCACAGGCCCAGGGCACTGATCATCTCCCTGTACCTGCCACTGGTGAGGCCACACCCCAAATCCTGTGTTCAGTTTCATGGCCGTGCAATTCAGAAAAGATACTGAGGTGCTGGAGTGTGTCCACAGAAGGGTAACGAGGCTGGTGAAAGGTCTGGAGCACAAGTCCCATGAGGAACAGCTGGGAGGATTCAGCCTGGAGGAAAGGAGTCTCAGAGGAGACCTCATCATGTAGGTACAGAGTTTGTGGTGATTGGAGCAGGTGCAGTGGGTGCAGCTGTGAGCAGCACTGACAGCAATGAGCCCTGGAGTGCCGCTGAGGCAGAGCCTCATCCCCAGTGGGTCAGCTGTGAGCAGCAGGTGAGCAGCACTGACAGCAATGAGCCCTGGAGTGCCCAGGGGCACTGACCAACCACCAAAGGGAGCAGAGGGCACACAGGGGTAAAGCATGTAAGATGAAGAATTTAAAAGGTTGGGCTAAAGAATGAGGAGGGCAGATGCTTGCAGCCTTCTGATGAGGTATGGCATTACTCTGTATGGGTTGAAGCTCTCTGAAATTGTATGGTGATACTCTGTGTATTGTGGCTGTCTGAACTATGATATTACCACTCTCTGTGCTCACCTGAACAGAGATTGTAGCAAGGTGGAGGTTGGTCTCTTTTCCCAGGTAACAAGTGACAGAAGTAGCAGAAATGACTTCAGGATGTGCTGTGGGAGGTTTAGATTGGATACTGGGAAAAATTTCTTTACTGAAAGGGTGGTCGGGCATTGAAATATGCTGCCCAGGGGTATGGTGAAATCACCATCCCTGGGCGTTCAAAGAGTGGAGGAATGTGGCACTTGGGAATATGGTTTAGTGGTGAACACAATGATGCTGGGGTAATGGTTGGAATCAATTACATGGGAGGTCTTTTCCAACCTTAATAATTCCATGATAAAAGGATGGAATCTTCTGAAATTTCATGTCACCTTTTAAAAATTAGGGGTTTGATTCACTTCCAGGCCCCCTTTCTCAAGGAACTAATTTCCCCTTTATGGTTGTGGAGATCCAGGGATAATTTGGGAAGTGCCTTTCTCCTATGGATTTGGACAATCAGCGATCACAATTAGCGGCACAGATCTCCTCAGACAAGAGCGGCGTTTTGCTGCGGGGTGAAAGACGGCAGCACACTCGTCCCACCAGCCGAGACCAATCCCTGGCGATGCTTTCCCACCCTGCTGCCCTCCCCCGGGCCGGGGCAGGCAGGGCGGGCGCCCCGTCCCGCAGCCCGCGGCCGGCCCCGCCGGGCAGCGCTGTCGCTTTAAAAGGCGGCGGGCGGGCTGGAGGCGGCGGTGACGGCCGGGGCCATCGCCTCCCGCCGGCTTTTCCCCCCCTTCCTGCCGCTCCGCCGCTCGCAGCCCGTTAAAAAGAGGAGGCAAGATGGCCGAGCTGGGCAGCAAGGGGGTCACGGCCGGGAAAATCGCCAGCAACGTGCAGAAGAAGCTGACCCGGGCGCAGGAGAAGGTGGGGAGCGAGGGGGCATCCGCGGGATGCGGGGCTGGGAGCGGGGGCCGCGGGCAGCGGGGATGACAGCCCTGCCCCGAGCAGGGATGCGTCTGGCTGGGGGTGCTGGCGGGGGGGTGGCGGCTGCCTTCCCTGCCTGCGGAGCTGGGGCCCGTGTGCATCCTGAGGATGCCGAGTGTCCCCGCTGGAGCGGTGCGGGATCGCCGGCCGCCTGCGGAAACACGGCATCGGCAGCGGAGCGCCGCACGCCGGGCTCGCAGCCGCTGGTGCTTATTGTCTCAACAGGAGGAGACCTTTGGTTGTGGCATTTAGGCTTTAGTGCTTTATGCAGCGTTTTCCAGAGCGGTTCTGCGTTTTGCCGTAGCGCTGAATGCGTGACCTCAAAGATGGAGAGGGACGCTGGCCCCTGGTCTGCCAGCAGCATTGCTGATGGTCGCTGCTGGCCGGACTGACCTTGAGCCCCTCACTTTGGAATGGTGGTTCAGCCATACGGCCTTTAAAGATTGTGCCGATCTGCTGGGAGAGGGGGGGGATTTTGGAATCCCGGGAGCCCTTTCGCTGCTCTCCGCCCACGCTGTGCCAGCAGAAGGTGCCAGGAATATGCAATGGATACTCTTCCTGTTCATCTCTCTGGCACGCTGCATCTGATGCCAGCTGCCTGCCCTGTGTAGGGATTATCGGGCGTTTTACGCAGGGACATTGATCAGCTGCTTTTATTGCGGGCACGCTCGTCTTGGTTTTCAGTGCTTTGCTGTGGGCTGACATTGACTGAATAAGGACTGGTGCATCTTTGAGGGAGGGCGGCGAGGAGATCTGCCCACTGCTGCTCGTGTTCCCTGGGAGTTATCTTTAGCAGCTAGATTTAATCTAGGAGGGCTGGTATTAAATGCAGGGCTGGCCTGAGCCCTGTACCAATCTCTGGCACTGCTCAAAAACGCTGCTGGGTCAGAATGGCAGCCCAAACCACTTCTATTTAATGTTGCCCATGCTGCATCCACTGCTTATAGCTCACTTGCTGAGACTAGGAACATCCCTTGAGCTTGTCTGACTGCTTGTAAAAAATTCCAGTGACTATCAGATCCAGTATGGAAGCGCAGCAGCAAGGTCCTGGCTTCCCTCTGTACACAAGAGCGAGCTTGGCCACATCTGTGATTTTCTTTATCCTACTGTTGTTCCAGAGGGGACAGGACAGGGAATCTGGTCCACCTTGAACTCATCACAGATGCGAAACTTCATTCTGTGTTAGCCACCAGATGGCAACCATATTTGTAGCTAATATTGGGGTAGGTGGTAGGGGCTGAGCTCCTGGGCCTGCTGATGGAGTTATTATATTTACTGGTGCAGCCTGGAACCTGGAGGGTCCTGCCAAGCCCTGCCCTGTCTCTTATCGAACATACACAGGTTCTTTTCCTAGGGAGGATTTTCCACGAATTTCTGTCAACTGTTGATCTAGCTCACTTCCTTGCTCACGCCCTGGACGGGGAATGACAATAATAATCGAGAGTTAGCTGGGTATTGCAGGTGATTTGCACGATCTGAAAACAGTTGTTTGTCTCTTTGGGAAGAGAAAAGCTTTGGGGTTGTTTTCCTTTCCTCCTTAGAGGAAAACAAGCGGTGCATTTGCTAACACAAATTTTAGATCCTTCAGCTGTTGTTATCCTGATGCAAACGGTACAACTTTAATCTCTGGGCTCTCAAAGAAAAGAAAAAAAAATGGCATCGTATGCTTCATCATCTGACTTGCCTCTTCATACTGCTACAGGATTCTCTGTAACAATTCTTCTTTTGTGAAGCATTCAGTATTTTACACATAAAGGACAGACTTTCACTGAGGAATATATGTCAGTGTTAACATTTAGGTTGTGAGGAGAGATGCAGCTGAATATGAAGTGATATGGAAGCACCAGTGCTTAGGACATTCTACACTTGTGGTATTTAGTTATAAACTGAGATGCTGTGTTTAGCAGGAAGGGTGAACTGTGGGTCAGGAGATAAGGACCAGGTGTTAAATAATTAAAAAAAAAGGTAAGCAGAAGTGTGCAGAGGTGGATCTGGTAACAACTTAAAAATGTGTTAGATTTTTTTGTGACTATATTTTGGCTAGGGTTGAACTTTTCCTTTTTGAGGCTTAAACAAGCTGACTGTTCCTTTTCCATGTTGTATTTTGTTTTGAATCAAGGATAAAAAAGTTCTTACCTTGAGAATATCTCCCTCTCAACTTGAGCCCTGAGGCTTTGACCTTAGCAGTTTTCTTCCTGGTGAATTTCAGCCTTGTGCTGAGCAAAGAATGATGTCTTTTTGTTCATTGCAGAATTCACACTGAAACACTGTACACATCCTTTTTTCCCTTCTGAGATGCCTATTATGTAAACTATGTAAGATATTCCTTCAGAAGTGCTATTTGTTTTGAGCCTTTCAGCAAAACTGTTGGCTATTTTTGGAAGACACTTGAGCAATCCCACAGGAAATATACGATGGAATGGTCGACTGTGCTTTTTACAAAGGGGATGGACACACATTTAACCTCTACTCAGAGGTAGCCTCAAGTAAAATACTGGGCAATAATTTGCCAATTGCCACTGAAATGTATTAAATAAGTTGATGCTGCTATCCAGAGGAACACACCTTACAGAGGGAACTCATGCAACTGTTTTTAACTCTTATCACCTTTTTCAACTAATTAAGATATTTAGACTGGAAGTCATGATCTATTCCTCCTAAATTTAGCTAAAGGATTTTCAGACTGAGATGTTGAGCTCTGGACTTTTCATAATGCTCAATTTCTTAAATATCAGTAAAGATGTAATGCCCCCAGTGTCATGGTGTCTTAGAGGGAGCCTGGTGTTTGCAGCTCTTTTAAACTTTTCCAGTGAGACTATGAAGTTTTTTTTTTTTTTCTTTATGTCTGTAATCCATTATCTTGGTTCAAGTTTGTGTTTTATATTAACACTTCTTAAAATGTTAAAAATCTCCCCAGTTTCCACAATTCCCATTTTCCTCTAATAATGTCCTGTTTCTGGATGTGTCTACCTGCATGTGCGGGTTTCTGCTTTGAACACATTCAAACAGCATCTTGGTGACTTGATGCAGTCCTGGGGTGATGGTGACTCCTCTGTGGGGCTCCAGCAGGGAGCAAATGAGTTGGGATTCAGTAGCTTGGCTGGCAGCGTCCTTGTCACAGGATCAGGCTCTTTGCTTTCCTTCTGTGTGTTAGGTGGAAGTTCGGTGTGGAGAGATGGTATTGTCTGGATGGGCACCAACTGTTGGTTTAAGCTGCATACAGATTGATGGCTTTATCTGAGGAGATGAACTTTAAAATTGACATCAGAAAGAAAGATTTTTTTTTTTCCCTTGGGAGCTTTTTTATGTGGAGAGGAGTAGAAAGGAATGAACTTATTTTTACTTAGACTGAGTGTGGGAAGTTCTTATCCTATAGTAGTGGTGGTGGTATCTCACTCTTTTTTTGTTACAAAGCTGGGCAAAATGAGGAGTCTGTGTTCTGTGACAGGAAGAGACTGTTGTGTTTTGTCATGGCTTTCCTCTGATGTACCAACAAACCAAGGAATCCCCTTTTCTCCCTCTCCATCCCTAACCAAAGGGGAAGATTTGTTTTCCACGCAGGACCTGGCAGAGTTTAGTTTGGACATCCAAACTCCCTTGTGTTAGGGGTTCACATTTAGGTCATAGACCGCCGTGTATAGTCAGACTCTGGCTTGCAGTGTTGCCGTGAAATGTCACTTTGTTTTCCTGTTCTTGGCTTTGTTAATTCCACCGATGTTTGCCCACATGTGTTTGAAGTTTTCCCGGTTAAACCATCAAAGCTCTGCTCACCTCTGGCTGCACAGTCCAGGAGGCTGGGCCGTAGTCTTGGCCTCACAGATTGTGGTTTGGGTGGAACTGGGTTTGCAGGAGGCATGGTTTGCATTTTGAATTTGCCCTGATAAGACATTTTTTTTCTCCTTCTAAGTCAAGCTCCAGTAGGTGGAGCATTGCAGAGGGAACACCTGGAATAAAATTTCAGCCCTGTTGAAGCAGGTGAGAGTCCATACTAAATGAGCAATACCCAAGAACCTTAAAGCAAATTTAAGGATCAGGATTCACCTGTCAGAGGCTCTGTGCTCTGTAGAAACTCCGCAGGTGGGGAGGGAGCCTTTCTATACAAATAGTAGATGCAGAAAGCTCTCTTATTGGGAAGTAATCCATCTACCTCCTTGAGAGAAGTTCCTTATTGGTTTTCTTTCAGGATCCTTCTGTCTCTGCAAAACTTCTATAGTTTTTTCTTGCCTTGGTAGGATGACTGGTGGCAGTCTGCCTTGTTGTGCCAGTGAAGAACAAATAGCCTGAAGAGCTACAAGTATTGTTTGCCTACTGATCTGGCAGGAGAATTGAGGTTTTGTTTTTTTTTTTTTTAAGGGACTCCCCAGATGACAAAGGCAGGGCTTTTTACTTTGTCTCTTAGCTTGCTTTCTTAAGAATGCAGGGCTTAGGGGAGGGGTAGATCTAAAAAGGTACTTTGTGCCTAAAGGTTGCTGGAAAACAGGCAGGATACAGCAGGGAGGTCTGAATTAATGCCCCTAACGTTCAGATGATTCCAGTGTGAGCTCAGACTGTATTACTGGTATCAGATAATCTGCATGGTACAGGGAGGAGGTGAAATAGGAAACCAGGCTCCACATGTCCCCTTGCCCATGGAATGGTTTGATTGGCAGGGCACTTACAGTGCTGTGCTGAAGGTGCCCTTCTGTCTGCCCTATTGGCAACAGATTTCTTACATGAAGCAGAATCTCCTGGATGGATGAATTTTCTGATTGGAGAAGGCCCAACCCTATTCCTTGTCACTTTATCTTCCCTTTAAGTTCTAGTCTTGCAAACAGTCATCTTCAGTGCAGTTCTTGTGAGATCAGGTTTATGAGGCAGGATCTGGAAGATCTCTTTTCTCTGTGGATTCTAAAGAAGCTCTAGGCCATACAGTGTTACAGACCTCATCTCTCAGGGGGTGA